AATAAGTAAAGAGGATTAACCATTTCATTATTCATCATGTTATACTCTCCAAAGTCCAAACTCCAAACTATTCATCATCTTTTTTTTTTCTTTTTTTCGAAACAACTATTCATCATCTAAACTTTTTCTAAATTATATGCGGCAAAAAATATCCAATAATGTTTATCTTTATAATATATCTAGTCCAAAAATACTCAAAAGCTTGATTCATACTGCACAAAATACATATACGAATACAATTGTTCGATGACCAATATATAGATACTTGTGGATATCCGATTCCATTTTGAATGGGAAAAAGTGAGAATTTCTCTTTATTCTATACATATTGTAGGCTTGTAGCAAGTAGCAACTCTCTCTTTGGCTCGTGAAGGATCTTCTAACCCAGTCCGGTCCACGGCTACAGTAATGAGCGACCACTGCAAAAGCAAGACTTTTCAACTTTGTTCACTCTTTCTTGATTTATATATAGTCCGTTTTTAATGTATTTACCTTTGCCACTTATGGATTTGATTCTTCTCGTCTCTTGTGTGTTGGAGTTATTATTAGCATTATCTACTTTTTTACATATTTCGGAATGTAATTTAAAAGTTAAAAGGAATTTTTCATGTGATAATTGATACTTCTATTTTTAAAGGCTTTACGAAAATAGCATGTGGCAGTGAGTAGCTGTAAATGGTCTATAGTAAACTTGTAATTAATGTAATGTTCAAATATAAATCTTATTTCAGGTTGAAGTGGTAATTGATCAATCAACAGTTCACGTTGCTAACATTTTCTTCTTCTTCGAAATAGTGATATTTTCATTGAATTCAATAGGTCCGAAAACCCAAAATGTAAACACAATGAAAAACATATAACATATGAATAATATAAGAAATAAGTCAAAATAACATGCAATAATTTGAATAGATAAAATACCAAAATTGTGGGATAACCTGATGCCCTATTTTTTTTAGAGGTATAATAACCACAAAAGTTTCTTAATATATATATGCAAAATAGTTTTTTGTTTCAATTATTTATATTTTGTTGCCAGATTTTCTTAAGAAAATCCATCATTTCTTTTTCATCCTCTGAAGTCTGATGCGAATCTCTTGCATTGACCTTTTTAAATTTTGTGCCCTCGAGGGCATGAACCAGTCTCCAAAAATAAGAAATTTAAATAGCTTTTAAGATAATATACAAATATTGGTATATACTTCTTTTTAATTCTTCTATTGATAGTGGTACGCCACAATTGATTTTTTGTTTTTTGTAACATTTGTTTTCGATTAAAATATTCTTACAACGAATCATTTCGTAGATGAAAACATGAAAAAATATATATATACACGAAAACAAAATAAAACCAATCAACATTATCAACCGCGGGAAGATGACGTCTAATAAACTAATCCAGATATTGCCAGATTTTTAATAAACATACGTGTATATATATATGATAGATAAGCTAATCATTATTATTTATCACTTCTTCGACGACAACAAAATGTCATTTTCGTTTTATTTTTATACTGCAAGGATATGCCTTCTTCTTTGGTAATATTAAAAAAAATACAAATAAATAAGTAGATCATTTTTGGTTTTTTTTTTTTTCAATAATTTTTCTTCATCCATTTAAACGGTCAAAGTACAATGGGAAAAAATTAAACATCTTCCATAATTACTACAACATAATTGAAAATCAATAAAACATAAAGCAGATAGATCATCGCAAAAGATGTACCGCGAATCCAAAGCATACCTCGGATACGTCAAGAGGATCTTCACGGCAAAGCCAGAGAGTCTCAGGTTAGTCACTTTACCATGTGACTTTGAAGTTCCCGGCATAACACACGGGGGTTCGACCATTTTCCATGAGAGGGAAGAAAATACGACCATGCTCATTGAAATGGAAAAAAGTGGAATTAAACTCTTCCACCGGAAGTAAATTACAAGATTTGAGAATCGAGAAAACTTTGATCTTCTCTCAACAGAGAAGATATCGAGCTCGCATATTACTGGATTTGAGAATCCAGAATATTTTGACCCTTTCATACGTGGAGATATAACTCTCGACGATTGATAGATTGAAGCGCAGTGAAGGCGAATTGATCTCTCTAGACTCGATTTGGAGGACAAAAATTTTAACGAACTCAGTAACAATATGCCTAGGAAGACAAGAAAAACAGTACAACTTATCAAGAATAAATGAGCGGTCTTATACCAAATTTACAGAGAAAATACTTGATATGGTGTTGGGCCTTTTTCCCAAAGTCTATGTGAAGATAATGAATCTGATTGCTGGCCTGCGATCAAAGCCCATATGGGCCCGGCCCACCCAATAATTTTAATCTTGTTAGGTCCAATAAATTTATCAGATTCGGCATCTCCTTCGCCGATTTGCAATTCCGATACTGACCCAACTCAGATCCCCGAGCAGGCCATCACCACAGGAGAGAATCATACGGAGGGATGCTGGTGACATCAGTGCGCTGCTCCAAAACCATCTCGGCAAAGTCAGTGTTGCCCACGATGGTGAGAAGCTTCTCGACAATTGAGATGGGAGAAACTGAGGATAAAGACCCGAGATCAGCTCGTGCCTCGACGGTGAATCCGGCGGATCTGGAGGGTCAGGCGGTTCCGGAGGCTTCGGCGTCCCCGGCTGCTCCAGCTGAGAGTTTATGGCTTGACGAAGGCCGAGCTGCTGCAGATCGGGATCTATAGGGGAACGACGGAGAAAAACGTCGCTATCCATGGAGGACAACAGAAATTGAGTAAGGTACCAAGGCATAGTATGTTCGGAAGGTCTCGCCAGCGACAACTGTGGCCGGCGGAGGAGGGAAGCATTTCTGCGGATCTGATGAAACTCCGGAGGAGAGCTCCGTCTGTGACAGAGAGGGATCTTATGCTATGGCGGAGGGCTTCGGAGAGTGAGTGCAGAGCATACACAGCTCTCGCCGGAAGCCATGGAGATCGACGGAGAAAGGAGTATGTTACCATGGCAAATCGAGGCCGAAAGTTGATACGTAAGTAAACGTTTCTCGGATTCGTCGACTGAATCCGAGAATAGAATGAGCAAAGAGAACTACCTAGGAGGAGGGAGGAGGTCGCCGGTAACAAGACATCTTCGCGACGACGGTTCCTCGACTTCTGTGCCTTAGATCATTTTTGGTTATTTTTTTGAATTAATGGATCTAAAACATGATATTTATCTAAATGATGAAATTCGACCCAAAAATTCAAATATTTTAAATTTAGCGTTCGAGTACCTAAAAAATCACTACATCGATGTTTTAGTAATTTCCTGCTGTTTATCGGTTTAGGTAAAATAGTTTATTATCCACATGTAAATCACGATTCCAGTTCATCCAAACGAAAAAATAGACAAAATATCCAAAAGTCTACACAAACAAGGCTTAAAATATCATTGTAATTTGGCCAAAAAGGAGAATCCAGATCTACTAACTGTAAATACAAAATTCCACATTCAGTCAAAATCCCATACATCCACGGTAGAAAATACCACTTACTATTTTTTTGGGTTTAATTTCACATAATTAATACAAAGACCTTTTGAAGAATCACAGTTTCGAAATGAATCATACTTGTTGTGGTCAAATAGTTTACAGCTAATATGTAAATTTAATAATTATTATTATTTATATAAATCCGGTACAAGAGAGACAGATAAAAGAACAAATCCCCAACCTGAAAAATAACAGTAACAGAAGAAATCCCCAACCTG